TCACAATTGAACCTAACTTGAAGTTTCTTGCACAATTATGCTCATTTATGAGACTCTTAATCTGGAAAGCCTTTTCCTCACTCTTCCAAGAATACCACATCCTAAACTTGCATTGCCCAGAACAATATTTCACTAATACTAATAGTCTCCTACTATCATTTTTTTGTAACATAAATGATAACCATTTACTACAACATAGTTACACATCACATGTTTTAGTTGTTTAGGAATCACAAATCTCATACCTAATACAAGTTTCTACTTTTTCCAATGAACATTCTCATTGTAAATAGCCTGCCCAGTAGATATTTCCTCATCCTCTTGTGGTGGATCATATGTGTCTTCACGAGGTGGACTGTGGGGGGTGACTTGCTCCTTTGGGCACAACTTACCTTTGTCTTGTTCATATGAATGCACTCATCAAGTTCAGTGTTCACTTCCATGTGAATGACATCATCTTGCTCACCTTGCAAATCCTCCCTTGCACCTAGGATATCATCTCTACCACTAAGTAAATCTTCCATGTTGATTCCATCATCCATATCCATATGACTATGCACTTATTCATGATCTTCATTTGCACCAGATAATTGGTCTAAAGAACTGCAAACTTCTGCTTGCTCTTCAAGAATCCATTGATGTACATTAACACCAAGATGGTCCATATATACATCAATTACACAATCAGAAGCACACCTTACTTCGATTAGTTCCATGTAATCCATGTCGGTCACGATTATCCTTAATCCATTAGGAAAATCAATATCGAGCATGTAAAAGTACACATTTACACATATCTCAAAAGCGAATCTTTCAAGGAACTCGACAAATTCCTTCTTGTCCATTCCAGCAAAATCATCATCATCAAACCTTTGCTATGCTCCATCCGAGTAAGTAATAGAGGGTACCTGGTAAAAATTCCAGCAAAATGTAGATCAATCTTCATGAAAACGGTCATAGCAACGACAAACTTCACCGATTTGAGCGACGAACACTTGAAGAAAAGGATAGGACCGAAGAACAGTTAAACAACGAATTGCGATGAGGAAGTTAAGAAGAAAGTGTTCGAAAGAGACAGTTGATGGTATAAACGTACAGTATCTCTCATTAACTCCTATATACACGTGACAATGACGTGGACTAAAATAATCTATTTGGATATCAGGTGAAATTAGAAAATTGCTACGTGGGATGGGGGTCACCGGGTGACCCCTTCATTTTTCCAAAAATACCCTTTTAAAACCAGAAATTACAAGTTTATGCCCTTAAAATACAAAAAATAGTAACGAGGGACCATTTAAACCATTATACGTAACTTTGTTGGGCTACAGTGACAATAACCCTTAACATAAATTGTCAATGTTAGCACTAACAACTAATATCAAATATACAACTAACTAAATATGACGAATGTAACAAAGCGTCGAAATAACAAAGCGTCGAAATAACAAAGCGTCGAAAATTTTTGACGTTTTAATCCAAAAATGAAAAAGTAATATATCTTAAACCAAATAAACACTAAACACTTTGTCATTAAATTATTTAGTAAGAAACTATATTTAAATTTATATAATTGATTATCTTAAAATAATACCAACCTTATACTATATTCTTAAGTTAATTTAACTTCAAAAATATTCCATGAAGTTAGAAAAAATATGGACAAATAAGAAATATATAAGTCTAAAACATCTGTTATTTTATATATTTTAGTTTTCTTTTATTTATAATAGAGTAAGTTATATAAATGATTATTTATATTATAGTTTTTTTCCAATTAAATCTCAATTTCAGTTTTTCTTTAAAATTAATTTTATTATTTATTTTTATTTTGTGATTTGACATTTTTAACATATTTACCGTTAATATTTTAGTTTTACATAATATTTTCCGATAAAAGGATCATATTTATTAAAGTTGTTTATTTGGGCCAACTTTTTGTATAGTATCATAATTCATCTAGTTTTCATGTTGTTGTTTATGGTATTCTTAATAGTTTTCAAGATTAAAAAACTATTTTTCATATTGTTGTTTATGGTATTCTTATTGGTATTCTTAATAGTTTTCTGGTAAAATACATATCAAAAACTATTTACAAGATGTTCGAAGATTGTAGCACATGAAAAAAAAAGGGTTTCAGCTGGCTTGGTATCTTAGATCGCTTGGAGTTCGAAAGTTGTCTTTCTGTATGAGTTTTAAAACAAGCTAATAAGGCAAACCAACTTTGATTGTTGGTATTCACCTACTACAATCCATGACATATTGTAAATAGGTATTGATATGCATTTTGTTAACAAGAATAAGATATGAAAATTATTATGCATTTTGCCAATAAAAATCGAACATGCCAAGCCAACTTATATCGCTCGTCTTCACTGTTTGATCTTCACCTGATACAATCTTATAAGCCCTAAACCATAATCCTTAAACACTAAACCCTAAACCATAAAACCTAAGCTCGTAATCCCTTAGCCATAAACCATAAGCTATAAGACCTAAGCCTTATGTTATAAGCAATAATCCATATGCCATAAGTCATAATATATAAGCCATAAATCTTCAGCCGTAAGCCATAAAACCTAAGTCATAATTCATAAGCCATAAGCCAAAAAGCATTAAGCCATCAGTTGAAATTCCTAATCCCAAGACATAAACCATAAGCCATAACCCATAAGTCATAAGTCATAAGCTTTAAGCTCTAAGCCATAACCATGAGCAGCCTAAGGTATCAAGCTAATGTAGATTGTTGTCAAAGATACCAAGCCAACTTAGACCATCGTTATTAAGATATATCTTGAGCATCCTTTAAATAAACTTTGATATGTATTTTGCAACAAGAATTTGACACAAAACTCTTTCTTTTTGTTTTTTTTTAAATAAAAAATAAAATATTTCTTTTGGATTTTAATGTTAAAAACTATAAAGACATCACAAACAGCAACAATATTAAAAACGGAGGGATAATGAGCCAAAGCAAAAAGTTTGTCAAATATGAGAGTTATTATTGAGGGCTTTTTTTTTCCGAATAAAAACGAGGTTTTTTCAAAAAAAAAAAACAAAATTAAGGTTTAATTTGTAAAAATTCCGATATATAGGGTGTTTTATGTAGTTAAGGATTTGTAATAAAGAAATGTTTGAAGTTTGCAAGTGCTTATAATTGACATGCAACTGAAATTGCTGCGAAATGCAACTCAAATTCGTCAGAAATGCAAACCCAAATTAAAAAACAATCCTTACGCTACAACCGCAAAAAAACGTCCCCAAACTTTAATCCACTCCCCAATAATTCCCCACCCTCCTTCACTATCAGATCCGATCAGTTCCTTCAATTATCCGTCGCCGCCGCCGCCACCATATATCCTTCCCTCCGCCACAACACACAAAGTCCTACCAGATCCGCGTCAAACCATCGGCGATAGATCTACAGAATCTAGTTCGTCGGAAACACGCCTGAAGATCGGAAAACACCGTACGTTTCGGTTTCCGGCCACCGGCGACGATTAACTTTTTCTTTCTCCGATCTTCACAAATTAGGGTTTTTGTAAAAACGGTACCTCTCTATTATTAATACAATAATTTTTTCTATATTATTTTGATATTGCTGTTTTTTTTTTAATTATTGTTATGGTATTTTTACTTTTTAAAGCTAGTTTTCCTATATTTTAAAAAAATAAATACAGCTGTTTATTTACTTTTATTTTTCTTAATAAAACAATTACTTCTTGTTTTAGCACAAATTACGTTATGATTTTTTCTTAAACTTTAATTTTTGTGAAAAATAACAAAAAAATTTATACGTTTTACTCGGTTTGACATCATAATGTGCTTTTTTTTAATGGAAACCAGCAAAAACCATCAACATCAACTCACATGTACAGTTCTCGAACAAATTTATTTTGATTTTCTGAAAACGTAAATGACTGTAAATTCGTTTCTATATATATTCATAAAAAGTAGACTTTAAAAAAAAAATTGAACTGGTAATTTTTCTTGATATTTTAAAGATTGTTATATAGTTTGTCAGTTTTTTGTATGGACAATTTATGTGTAAAAAGGGTATATTTTTAATGCATTTCTATTTTTGGAAGCATTTTTCATAGTAACATTTTTGTCTCTCTTTTTTTTTTTAACAAAGTGTTTCAGTAAAAATGATATTTTTAAAAAAATACGTACTATAAAAATAATGAGGAAAACAGTTTCCTCTTAAAAGGTAAAATAAAATAAATTATATTTGAAGAAGTGATTAATTTTTTAACACCCCAACGCCCTTTTACCTTTTCCTAGCTGCACTTGCAATCACCAAGGCTATTTTGGTAATTTCAAAGCAAGAAGGTCGGTTATCTTTTTTAATGCAATTACATTCATACCCTTTGACACGCGCTTGTATTACATCCCACGTGCCAAGGCGCGTGGCAAGTCATATTTTAAACCAGTCCACGTCATTATATGTGATTGAGAGTGGAACTGGTGTGAGGGCCCCACTCTGTCAAACATAAAAAGGAAAGCTAAATTAAAGCGCTTAAAACTCACGATATTTTGATCAAGGGTTCAGATATTGCCACGCGGCAAACAGATGGGATCTGAGCCGTGGATTACAGGTGTGACGGGCAGGGTGCCCAGACAGCAAGTAAATCCAGATTGTCCGTTGGATCAGCGGTCAGAAAGCAATCCACGGCGGATAAACTGCCCGTCGTTACGCCGGTCAGATCTTATCGCCTTTAAGAACCAACCCCAACCCCTTCAATCTTCGCTCAGTCTCAAACCCTAGAAGGTCATCACCTCCATAAATATATATACGAATTATTATATATATCTATTTTCGTCTTTTCTCCGGTCGTTAATAGTAGATCGCCGGCCGCCGGCGTTATATTGTGTACATCGTCGCCGGTTCGTTTTCTGTGTGGGGACTGATACATGTTTTCGTTCACGCCTGTCTGGCTTTCAAATCGAGATAGATCCGGATCTCGACGGGGCAAATACGTTGCCGTCGTTGTCGGTTCATGGCGTCGACGGTGTTAGCGAGTAGGAATCAGACGAGCTACGGACATCAATCATTCATGGGGGAAATCCCTAATTATTCCAATAATAATCCTCGTCATCTGAACCCTAACCTTAACCCTAACCCTAACCAAAAACCCAAATCAAACAAGAAGAAGCATTTCCCCAACGCCGCTATTAACGGCAGGCCACACAACCACAATTCTCATCCTGTTGATTCTTGCGCGGTGGTTGTGAGTCAAGCCGCGTCGGATGACGCGTATTCGTTCAACCAAAGGCCGATTGAGACCAGCGGGGGTGCCGGATATGGAAATAGTTTCAACCATGGGGGATATGTAAGCTACAACGTTTCTGCGTGTTCGAAAAGCGAAATTAATGAGCTACGGAAGAAATTGGTTGCGGATCTTGAGAGAATCCGGAACCTAAATGATCGGATTCACGCTGGCGATTTAAACCCTAGATCAACCAACGGAAAATTCAAGAAACTGTCGGGTAATAAACGGCAGCCATCTACGATGCCGTTTGGATCTAGCAACAAAGAGCCGAAACATTTCCGTCAAGGTTTGGTAAACGGCAGTGCAGGAGGAGGTGAAGCGGACGAGAATTTGTTAAAGATGTGCAGACAGGTATTGACGAAGTTGATGAAGCACAAGCTTAGCTGGGTCTTCAACAAACCGGTGGACGCTGCTGCTCTAGGGCTTCACGATTATCATCAAATTATCAAGCGTCCGATGGATTTAGGCACGGTTAAATCGAATTTGTCAAGGGGTTTATACGCATCTCCGTTGGATTTCGCCTCTGATGTGAGACTGGTCTTCGAAAACGCGATGCTTTATAACCCTAGAACAGATGAAGTTCACGGAATGGCGGATCAACTGCTCACGCATTTTGAAGAGTTATTTAGACCAATCCAGGCGAAATTGGCAACCCTTCACGTTGTGAATGAGTTTTCAGCCGTTGAAGAATTAGATGGTAGTTCTTGGGACGACATTCAAACCCCTGAAAGATCAAAGAAGATGAAAACCGCAGCTCCAGTCGCTCCTTCCATTTCAAACAAACAAAACCACTCAACCGCTTCAAACCCGATAATCCCACCCGCTGTCCAGTCTCCCGTACGTTCTCCATCTCCATTGCCAATGCAGCCTGTAGAACCAGTGAAACCGTTATCCACATCAACAAGATCAGCCATCGGAAAGCTACCAAAGCCCAGAGCTAAAGATCCAAATAAACGAGAAATGAATATGGAAGAGAAGCAGAAACTAGGGTTAGGCTTGCAAAGTATGCCTCAAGAAAAGATGCCACAGTTAGTCCAGATTATTAGAAAAAGAAACGACCATTTAGCACACGAAGGTGATGAAATCGAGCTAGACATTGAAGCTCTCGACACAGAAACACTTTGGGAGCTTGATCGGTTCGTGACAAACTGGAAGAAACTCGTGAGCAAGACAAAGAGACAAGCTTTGTTGGTGAACAACACCTCAGCGGTAGGGGCTAGCGTCTCAGCCGACATTGACGATGTAAGCTTTCTTCTACATTTTTCCAAACTTTTCTTTTCTTTTCTTTTCTCTGTGGTGGTGGTTCTCAACCGGTTGTGGTGGTTGATTCAGGCTCCGGTAATGGAGAAAATTGATGGAATGAAGAAGAGCAAGAAGGAAGCTGGAGAAGAGGATGTTGATATAGGTGATGAGATGCCGGAGAGCAGTTTCCCACATGTGGAGATTGAAAAAGACGAAGGTGGTGGACAAGGTCAAGGTACAGGAGGAGGAGGACATGGGAATAATGAGAATGGAAGTAGCAGTTCGAGTAGTTCAAGCAGCTCAAGTAGTGATTCATCTTCCTCTAGTGGTATTGAATCTTGTCTTTCGTTCATTTGTGAGCAAAGAGGAGGTTTTTATTGGGAGATGAGTTAGTTGCTTATGAGATTGCATTTTAATTTGTTTACAGATTCAGACTCAGGGAGTTCTTCTGGGAGTGATTCGGATGCAGATGATGCACAATCTTGACATGAAACGATGAAAAATGTAATGTGATTTGAATCAAGAAAACCGCGATTGCAGAATCATCTTTTAATCAAATGGAATGGAAGTGAAAAAAGGCTCGAGAGATATTGAGAAGTGAAAAAGCTCGGATGGATGTAATTAGCGAGAGAAGACCCGTTGTAATTGGGTTGATTTTAGGTATGAAGGTGAAATTTAGATCCTTTTGTTAATGGTTTTTGAGGGTGTTTTCTGACATTTTATATAAATAGGGAGGTGAAAAACTGAAAATGGAGGTGAAGGTAGAAGAAGAAGAAGAAGAAGAAAAGGAAGATAGTTATAAGTTGAGTTTGAGTTGAGGGAGGGATATGATATTGAGATATGAGATATGATGATGGTCTTGTGTGTACATATGACCAAAACAAGGCAAAAATTAGTGTAGTAAATCCATGAATGATTTTATTGGAAAATTCTAATTGTTGTTCAATGTTTATATTGTTGTTAAATGTCTACTTCTATTTCCTAAAAAGTAAAATGGAAATTGAAGTGAAAATGGAAATATGGAGTGTTTTGATTTTTTGATGAACTTGAAAGGCATGTTCTTCTAGAAGGTGTAGCATGTGAAAGGGCAGATGATTGGGAAGGTACAAAACATGTGTCCAAGTTTCAACGGCACCGTCAATGACATTTTTTAGGAAAATCAGTTTTGTCAAACTATATATATTTAATTTTGCGTTAATAAATAAATAAGAAACAAGATAGATATGTAATACATAAATTTAAAACGTTTCTAGATAAGTGGAAGTGGTGTAAATTACAACAACATTTAAATATGTAAATATTTGATTGTTTTGTCAATAAGCTTAAAATGGATTGTAATTGGTGTTTGAGAGTTGAGGCCAAAGAGAAATTAGATTCTTAGGTAGGTTAATAGTTAATACCTCTTTGAAGTTTGACCTTGAACTGGTGAAGAATAGTTGACTACTCATGGGATGTAGTTATTCCAAACACTATACTTATGAACTATTATTGTTTTTAAATAAATACACCAAAAAGCTTACCTTGGATTTTATTTTATTAAAAAAATATAAAAAAGTACAAAATGAAAAAATCTGTCACCTTTACCACTAACCAAGAAATCAGGAGATATTGGAGAAGTGCACAATACAAACACATGAATCCAAGAGGTATGTGAAAAGGAAAATAACACATGTTTATGGGATAATACCTTCACTGGGTAACGAATTATGATTATGGTACATATTTAATTATTTTTTAGTATTATTTATCATCGAACTTTCATTTCTTATTTAAAAACTAAAATTTTGACCTGTAATAATCCATATTGTCGGTTACATTGCTCATTTGTAAATTAAAAGCCTTACATAGATACTTAGTTGGATAAAAGGTGTATTATCAATAATGCAATAAAAAACCAAGCATCAATCCAAAACCGTATCATCTAGTAATGCAATCGAAGCTTCATTTCATCATGCACTAGTAAAAATCATAGATAATGACCTCAACTCATCTCTAAGTAAGTTCTTAACTGTTGATGTTCACTACAAAGGCACATTTATACCTACGCTTCTAGTGTATTTCGACCATGTTAAAGCTTCAATAAGAGATGTATTTTAGTTATGTAGGCTTTACAAAGTTTGTCTCATTTCTTGAAAGTTGGCTAAAGAGAGTTGCAAAGATGTTTACTATTGTCTAAACTTTGGGTGATGGTTTAAAAAGTATGAAAATTGATGATGATTATAATGAATTTCTATAAAAAACATTATGCTAATGATAGTAGGATTAGTGTATATGTAGACCACTTAAATGAACCTATACTTTGTTGGGTTTATCAATTTTGATCCAAACGAATTCAAAAGCAGTTTTAATCCCAAGGGTATTTTAGGAAACTTTTTATTGATGCAATTTTTGTGTTAGATTAAGATATTTTTTTTATTAGTATAAATAAGGGTAATGTTTAGGATGTTTTAATTCATATATCCAACAATAAAATCCTTGATTAGCAAGTAATATCATAATTTTTTTATTGTTCGTGTTATTTCTCTGTTTATCTTGTTTCTCCTCTGTTTTTTCTAACTGGTTGCACATTTTTTCTTGGGCATAAAGGTATTACCGTGTCAATACCTTACACTTGGTATCAAAGTGGTTATGTTGAAAGGGCGTGAGCTGGTTTTAATCGCAAGTTAAAGCATCTCAACAACAACAATCCCAATTTCTCTTGATCAGACTTGTTCTAACGATAGCGAGAGAGTAACCGGATGTGCATGATAAAACAGAAAGGAAGACATCAAAGCAGGTGGTTTTGATTATGTTTGTTTTTACAAGTGACGAAACACGGTAAAGGTGGTTGTGACATTGTTTTCTTGATCAATGGAAGAGTGCTCTCGAACAAGCTTAATTAAAGAGGTTGGGACTGCCAAAAGGGAGAATATGATATCTATAATTAAAGAAGGAGGTCTGTTGTCGTATCAAGTTTCGGTTTTAACCCCAACGAATTATTCAGTGTGGGAAGTCAAAGTTAATTCGATTATGGATTCACACGACATATGGGAGACGGTCGAATCGAAGGCGTTAGATGAAAAATCAGATCGAATGAAGTCAAAACAAGCTCTTTTTTTTCAAGCGATACCCGAAGACATGGTGTTGCAAATGGCGAGTTATACTGACCCAATGCAAGTGCGGGATGGGCTAAAACACGGTATTTGGGAGTGGATCAGAGCGGCTTGACTTGCAACCTTGAAGAGGGAACTTGAAGGTTTATGCATGAAGGACGGTGAAACGTTTGATGATTTTGTGACAAAATTATCCGGTTTAGCCTCAAAAGCAAGGACTATTGGATAAACGCTTGAAGAAGTGGATTTAGGGAAAAGGTTACTAGACTCGATGCCTAAGTCGTTTCTTCAAATCATGGCTTCAATAGAGCAATGTTTCGAGTTGGATTCAATGTTATTCGATGAAGTTGTTGGAAGGTTAAAGGCATACGGGGAGCGTTTCAAAGGAATGAAGAAAATGGATACATTTAAGGTGGGTTGTTGATTAGTGACGAAAAATTGCATGCATGTAATCATTGTAGCAATATATGTTCAAATCTAGATGACTTTGGATGTGGTCGGGGAAGAGGTCGTGGGTCCAGGAAGAGTCAAGATGGTAATGAATGTGCCTGGGATAAAAGTCACGTTAAATGTCACAAATATGGTGAGTTTGGTTACTACAACAATGAGTATCCTAAATGAGAAAAACAAGAGGCAAATCTAACTGAAGAAGAAACAACACAACTGTAAACGAGTGGTATGATCAAACCAATTAAGGGGGTGATTTTTGGGTTAATCGGTTTTGATCCAAATGAATTCATAAGTAGTTTTAATCCCAAGTGTTGGTGATTTGTTATCATCAATATTATTTAAGTGTAATGAGATTATTTTGCTGACCAAAAGTGATCTTGATAAATATTAAACAAGTAAGGAAGGTGTAGAGTACACACTTGTTTAAGTTTGATCAAGTTTCAAAGTACATTGTCATTTAGGGGCGAAGCCCCTAAACGAACGGGGGTCCAGGGGCAGCGCCCCTGGGAGCGGGGTCAAAGGGGCGGTAGCCCCTGGTGGGGTCCAAGGGGCAGAGCCTCTGGCTGGGTATATTACTATCTCTTATCCAAACTTCCGTTTTTAAAATGCATCAGAAAATCGGTATGTTACTATATTTAAAATGCATCAGAAAATCGGATTTTCAGAGAATTGACCATTGTTTGACCCTTATCCAAACTTCCGTTTTTATGTTAGTTTTTATAGTTTTATGACAGTTTGAAACTGTCATATGATAGTTTTCAGACAAAGATCATAAAGTCGGTTTTGGTCTCATTTCTGGTATATACGAAACTATCATCAAAACATTCTAAGTTCTTGTCTCTCTCAGTCTTATCCGATTAAAGAATATTGAGAGTACCACCCAAATGCTTTAATCTGAAAGTGTTTAACACAATTCTCAGAATTCAAAGCCTTTCTATGCCCCAATTTCTTACACCAATGGTATTTTGGGAAACTTTCCTTTTATGTAGTTTTTGTGTTAGATTAGGATACTAGTTTTATTAGTATAAAAGAGTAATGTTTAGGATGTTTTATTTCAGATTTCTAACAATAAAATCCTTGGTTAGCAAGTAATATCACAATTTTCTCCTTTATGTTATTTCTCGGTTCTCTTATTTCTCCTCTGTTTTTCTACCAGTTGCACATTTTTTCTTGGGCATCAAGGTATTATTAGTTCAATACGTTACATACTTGACATGATGGAAGAGGCAAGATGAAAATGATAAGAATGGAGGTCGGGACTCAAATAAGGATGTCGATTAACAATCATTTGATAATTCGTCTTGTGATAATGAAGATGATAAATTGGTAGCGACATTTAACAAGACAATTGGGAATGCTTTTTTGAACAAACTTTGTGTTGGTTGCAGGAATACAATAGGTGATTCTAAATTTGCTAGTGACCTAGATGAAAATGAATAGAACGAAAATCGTGTGTATCATGTACATGATGAGGAATAGAGATGGAATAAAATGTCATTTTAGGTATGAAATTCTCAAACCCCTAATGAACTTAAACAATGTTTGAGTAATTATACATTAGCTAATGGGTATAACCTTTGGTATGACATGAATGATGCTAATAGATTGTAAGTTAAGTGTTGTAATGCTAACAAAAATCCACCATGTCCTTTTTTAGACTTTGGACTTTAGGGAGTCTGACCTTCTGGGCTGCAATGGTACGCAATATAGCTAAGGGCATAAAGTATATGGTGTTGACCTAACCAAAAAGACTTATATATACAAATCATGAAAAATAACAGAGCCGGCCCATGGGGAGTTCAACAAGTGCCCATGAACAGGGCCCACTAAATGATAGGGCCCACAAATTTTTAGCGTGTATAGCCTATCGTCAGTTTTAGCCCAAAATCAAATTAGGTTTTACAATCACTAAGTTGTCAAATGCAAGACGCAATAGCAGGGAGTGAGCGGGAAATCTGAAACTTGGGAAAAGAAAAAAAAACTCTTCGATTTCTTTGCTGATTACGCTTACGCATGGGGAACAAGTTAATGATGTCTAGTGAATCGTCTCCAATCAACGGGCTTATTGTTTGTTTAGTATCAGATGATTTCATAGGCAAATAAGTTGATTTCGGTTCTTACAATCCTACCAATTTCTTATTTCTTCTCGAAAATCAGTTTTGATTGTTGTATGTTTATAATCTCTGGGGAAAAACCGAATCTTACAATCGTTCTAGTTTCTTCTCGAAAATCAAAATTTAGAAGCTCTAAAATTAATCCTGCTTGAGGATTCGAAATTAGAAGGTAAGGAATTTCTGATTTTTTTTTGTTTTTTCTAGTTCATTTTTATACATGTTCGATTTTTTAAC